GAGCTTGGTAAAGAACAAGACTAACACCCTCAAACAACAGAGATGAACAGCAAGTCACACCACGAACCCCTCCGGGATGGCCAATCAGCAAATGCTGATATGCATGTACATGTCCTCCTCCCTCCCTCCCTCCCTTTCTTCTTTCCTTCCTTCTTCCATTATCCATCCATCCACTCATCCTTCCAACAAATATTGATTCCTGGGCTGACGCTGAGCTGGACACTGAGGATACCGCAGTGAATGAGAGAGGTGTGATCCCTGCCCAACCCGCTGAACCATCAATCTGTGCCCCTAAGTCCTGGGGCAAGAATACAAATGGCAGACTCTGGTCCCCAACCTGCCCCCTTCTCTTCCACCCTGATTCTGACTGCACAGCAAGAGCCCTCACATGTATGCGTGTGTACAGCCAGCCCACGTACCCAGGCTCTGCCATTTAAAAAAAAAAAAAAGAAACCGTTGCTGTCAAGTCTATTCTGACTCACAGCAACCCTATAGGACACGGTAGAAATGCCTCACAGTGTTCCCAAGGAGCAGCTGGTGGATTCGAACCGCTAACCTTTTGGTTATCAGCCGAGCTCTTAACTTCTGTGCAGCCAGGGCTCCAGCTCTGCCATACTCACCCCTAAATAGCCCTTGATCATCTAGGCCTGGGGGTGCTCCCACCAGCAGTGCAGCCCCCTCTAAAGGATGGGACAGAAAGAGTCCCATGCAGCCCTAGAGAGAGGCTCAGTGCCATTTGGGTAAGGAATTCTGGGGTCTTGGTTCCCAGAGAGGTCTCTTTGTTGTGCAAATGGTTTATGCTCAACTACTAACCAACTCACCTAGGTTGGCGTTTTAAACCTACCCAGTGGCACCATGGAAGAAAGGCCTGGTGATCTGCTTCTGTAAAGATTGCAGCCAAGAAAACCCTATGGAGCAGTTCTACTCTGTAACACGTGGGGTCACCATGAGTCAGAATCCACTCCACAACAACAGGGTTTTTGGTTTTGGTACCCAGAACATGGTCTAGAATGGGAGTGGTGTAGGCCTCAGGTGGGTACATCCCACTGGTCCCACAGATTCTTCACCCAGGGGAAGGGATACAACTAGAAGAGGGCCAGAGAGAGGCCATAATTGTGGGGCTGGGAGCAAGAGCCCCCTTGCCCAGGTCTGAGGGCTACACTGCTTTCCATAGCCCCTCACAACCTCCTAAGTAGGTCTCCGGGAGCTAGGGCCCCTCACAACTTCCCTGCTTGCCTAAGCAGCCTTGCCTGCCCCTCTGGCCAGAAGTGAGTCAGTGCCAGGGCCTGGCGGGCTCTGTCCGCTTAGGGGTGGGTGGGGTGTCCCCAGGATCCCCTGAGTTTCCCCAGGAATGGACTGAATCAGAGGTTGCCCCAGCTCTGCCCCAGCCTGACCGCCGGGGGTTTGTTGGGAGGCGGAAGATCAGAGCAGTCAGCCTGACAGGAATCGCTGAGACACCCGGCCGGTTTCCTGTCTCTGCGGGTCAGGATGTGACCCTGGGCTCCCTCCCGGAATCCAGGCTCCAGCCTGCCCTTCGGGGACCCAGCGAGATAGAGCCCCTGCCTGGCGGCCCCCTCTCATCTGTCTGCAAACCTCCCCAACACATACATAATACTGAACTTCTCTTGCCCGAAGTTCTTAGTGGCCTCAGCTCATCTGCCACCCACCCACAGGAAACTGGAGGATTTGAGGTTACGCAAGGATGGATGGGAAAGCTGCTTCTCTCCTGCCAGGGTCTGAAGAAGGCAGCCATAGGTCAGGAGAGATTTGGGCTGGGAGCTGAGCCAGCCACCGTCCCACACTGCCCCCACTGCCAGCCCCTGCTTCTTGCCTCCAGGCCTTTGCTCATGCAGTGCCCCCTGCCTCTGGAATGCCTTTTACCCCTCTGTGTGCAGCTGGACACTGGGAGCCTTTTTCTTAATGCCTCCTTCCCTTCATACTCAGTGCTTGGCCCCCTGGACCCCCAAATTCTGATTCCATCACTCTACACCAGGGCTGCTGATGCCACATCTGCCTCCGCACTGGCCCGTGAGTGGATCAAGGCAGGGTCCACGGGGTTGCCTTTTCTCTGCATCCTCAACACCCAACACAGGCTGGGCACAGTGCAGGCACCTGGTGAGGCCTGGTTGAGAGGGGCTGTCGTGCTGTGGACCCCACTCTTGGGTCTGCCTAGGGAGGAAAGTATCTCCCAGGGAAACAGTGGTCACAGCAGTAGGGACAGGTGGGATCATAGGCTCAGCCCTTGGGGCAGGGAGGTCAGGGGCACCCTGGGGAGAGGCCCAGCTCTGTCTTGCACAACCTTTCATCAGGTCGTCACCACCCCGGGTTGAGCCTCAGTTGACCTCTCTGAAAATGGCTTCAGGGCCCCTGCCTCATCTGCCTAGTAGTGATTACCTCTGAGGATCAAATCAGCCGACCAATGTGAAGATGCATTGTAAACTGTATCTGCCCGGCAAAATGAGGGGATTGAGGGGTGAGAAATGGAGCCCAGAGAGGAGAGGTAAAAAATAACAACCACAGTTACCATATATTGAACGACAACCATTCTGGGCTCTCATTATTTGCCTATACTATCTCACTGAAGTCTCACAACAATCCCCAAGAGGTAGGTACCATTATTGTCTCCATTTTCCTGACATGAAAACCAAGGTTCAGTGAGGTGACTGCTCAGGGTGATGCAGCTGGTAAGTGGTGGAACCAAAATCCAAACTGAAGCCTCTTTGGCTCCAGAGCCCATGTTCTTAACACCCTCCGCCCCAGGGTCACATAGCAGGGCATGCATTCATTCATTCATTCATTCATACATACATTCATAGATTCCACAAGCAGCTATTCAGTACATGCCAGCCTGCGGGTCAGATTCGGATACTCTGTGATTCTTAGGCGGGTCCCTGGGCCCAAGAAACTTGTCTCTTAGAGAGTGGGGAGGAGCAGATGTTATGTGGGCATCCCGGCGACATTTGGGGACTGGATCCTGCATTTCCTGAATCCTAGCTGTCTCCACCTCCTCCTAAACAAATGTCCCTGGTAATCCTAAAGCTTGAAATCTGGCTCCTTGAATTAGAAGTTGGCTATTCTCTAGACTGAGATCTCTGGAAAAGGCAAGGGGTGACATGGAGATTCTGTGATCAAGAGCTCTAGGATTCTTGGAATATGGCATGAGTTATGGTGATGTCAAATATGTGGCACCCATCTAGGATACTCCACTGGTCTCATCCCTTCTGGAGCAAGGGAAAATGAAGAGAACAGGATACAAGGAAGAGATTAGTCCAAAGGACTAATTGTCCACAGCTACCAAGGCCTCCACCGGACTGAGTCCAGTACAGCTAGATGGTGCCCAGCTACCACCACTGACTGCTCTGACCAGGATCACAACAGAGGGTTCTGGACAGAGCTGGAGAAGGATGTAGAGCATAATTCTAACTCACAAAAAAGACCAGATTTACTGGCCTAAAGGAGACTGGAGAAACCCCGAGAGTATGGCCCCCAGACACCCTTTTAGCTCAGTGGTGAAGTCATTTCCGAGGCTCACCATTCAGCTGGGGAGTGGACAGCCCCATAAAACCAAATGGGACTAATGAGGCACAGCAGTCCAGGGACAAGGGCCAGAAGGCAGAAGGGGACAGGAAAGCTGGTGATAGGGAACCAAAGGTTGAGTAAGGATATTGTTGATGTGTTGTGAGATTGTTAACCATTGTCATAGGGCAACATGTGTAGTAACTGTTAAATGAGAAACTATTTTGTTCTGTAAGCCTTCATCTTAAGTGAGAATAGCAGCACAATTGGAAGAACGTAGTCAATGTCACTGAACTGTGCATGTAGAAATTTTTGAAATGGTGTATCTTTGGCTATGTGTATTTTCACCAAAAAAAAAAGGTTGAGAAGTTAGAGGGTTGACATGTCATGGGGTTGTTAACCAATGTCATAAAACAATATGTGTACTACTGTTTCATGAGAAACTATTTCTTTTGTAAGCCTTCACCTGAAGTACAATAAAAAAAAAAAATACGTGGCACCCTTCTATAGAAGAATCCTGATCAAAAGGGGGAAAATGTAGAAGAAAATTTATAATTCTCATGGAATCCAGATTTTCTGGAGCTAGTGAAGTTGGATGAACCCCTGAAACTACTGCCCTGAGATACTCAATAAACCTTAAACCAAAAATATTCCCTGAAGTCTTCTTTAAGCCAAAAAATAGTTCAGCTTAATTAGTAAAGAATGTCTGCTTTGAGCACTGTGCTTTTTAAGGAAGTATGTATATGGGATCAAACTGACAACAGCAACTTGAAAGATTAGATAGGAAACTTAGGGGGCAAGGAGTTCATTAACGGAGGAGGAACAATTCAGAAAAGGAGGGTAAGAATGACTGCATAACTTGAAGAATGTAACCAATGTCCCTGGATTGTACATGCAGAAATTGTTCAATTAGTGTATGTTCTGCTGTGTATATTCTGGACAACAAAATAAATTACTAAAAAAAAATATGTGGCACCCCGCCATGCCCCTGCCTAAAGCCCTCCTACGACTGCCATTGCTCCCAGGATAAAGGCCAAACTCCTTACAATGGCGCCGGGGGGCCTTTCCCATCACCCCAGCCCTACCCGTGGAGAGCCGCAAGCTCCTGCCACAAGGAACCGCGTGCTTCTCCCCACCAAGGCCCACTCCCTCTGCCTGTGCATAAACTGTGTCCTCTGGGCTTTCCCACAGCCCCCTTCTCTTCATGAGCTCCTGACCGCCCTTCTGGGTGTTGCTTGCTCTGGGAAGTCCTTCCTAATCCCAGAGCAGCTGACATGCACTGCCCTGTGTTCCCCTAGATGCACCAGTCACTTGGATCCTGGCTGTCTACAAACCTGTCCCCCACAGAACTGGGTGCTTGCTTGGAGCAGGGACCATGACTTTCTCTGAGTCTGGCCCAGTTGTAGAATGATTAGGGTGGGGAGATCCCAGTCACCCAGAGGAGGTACAGGGACCAGAACATCAGAATGAAAAACTGAACTTACAGAGGGAAATCTCATTTTACATATTATTACCAAATTTGAAAAAATTATAATGCCCATGAAAACACTGAACATGTATTTGGCACTATCTGTGGTATGGGGATTATCGAGGCCCACAGTCCTCATGGTAATCCAGGCACTTTCTTATCACCACGCAAACGCAGGGCAGTTTAACAGTTTTGAAGGCAGGTTGGCCACAAAGCTACCCTGAGCCAACGCCACTAAGTCACTGTCAGGACCTAAGGCCACATCAGCCAGGTGTGGCCTCCAGCTCGGGCTGGCCAGACCCCACCTGAATACTGAGATTCTCTGTGGAGCCAGGTGACCATCTGGCTCTGGAGTCCCCAGTGATCTGGTATAAATTCTGGCCTTGGCATGTCTCTCTAGGTCAGCCTCAGTTTTCTCCTCCAGAAAGTGAGAATCACCCCAGATGCCGCCAGGTGGCCCTCAGGAGCCTTAGTACATATCAGATGCTTAACTGGATTCCTGGTACGCAGCAGACCTAGCACATACCGTGTGTTATCAGTCAGTGTGTTATTATTAAGAAGGGCTTAGACAAACCGAGGGTGAACCGCAAGAGGGCTCACCAGGGCAGAATAATCTCCGAGGCTTGCGTTGCTGCCTTGCGGGGTCACCAGGGCTCGATGGGGGACATTCCAAGAAGGAAGATTTGGGCTCAACTGAGGGAAGCACTCTCTCTAAGTCTGAGCTGGCCTGGTGTGGAGCTGTGTCTGCTGGGAAGCCGTGTGCTCTCCATCAGCGGGGGTGCATAAGCAGCAGCTCACCTGTCAGCAGTGGTTTACCTGGTACGTTCTGCCACCCACCTGGCTCTTCTCCATACTCCACCTGGTTGCCAGACACACCCAGCCCTTCCCACCCAGATCTTGTAGTGGCATCCAGAATATTGTCCCAATCCCAGACCCTGCCCCCAGAAATGCTATCCCCTATAGGCCCTATGAGATGTCCATGTCACCCTCTTGGCAGGGGCCCTGCCACAGGGAAGGTCTTCTTCATTTCATTGGCCTTGGGGCTTCCGCTAGACACCCACCTGACCCTGCCTTGGGGCACTCACCTTTTGTAACTCCAGGAAGAGGATGTGAACTTCAGGGGTTGCGTTGAGGACCTGGGCCACGCAGCCCTTAGAGACCTGGCTCATGGTGTATGTCACCTCGCCCCTCTCAGGGTCCACAGGCTGTAGGTCACAATGGACTGTTTCTGCAAGACCTGCTGGGGAAGCACAGCCGGCAAGAGAGCCAGGTAAGAGTGGTGGTGACAATTGCTGTCAGTTTCTCAACATCTATTGGATGCTGGGCAGGGGCTAAGGGCTTTGTTGCATCTTCATAGCTACCCTATTAGCTATAATTACAGGTAGTCTCCGGCTAAGGAGCCCTGATGGCAAGTGGTTCAGCTCTTGGCTGTTAACTGAAAGGTCAGCAGTTTGAACCCACAAACTGCTCTGCGGGAGAAAGATTTGGCAGTCTGCTCCCGTAACGATTACAGACTAGGAAACAGTATGAGGGAGTTCTACTCTATCCTATAGGGTCACTATGAGTCAGAATTGACTAGACGGCATACAACAACAACAGCCCCCAACTTAAGATGGGGTTCTGTTCCAGTGACTCCATCGTAAGTTGGTTCTGATGTAAGTCGAACACCTTTTTTTTTTAGGTTTTCATTATTATTGTCTTTTATTATTAGTATCTATAAATTCGATCTTTGGGAGTTGGAAACATTCCACATAAACATCTGAGAATGACAACATCAGAAAATTACGTGCTGCAACATTGTATGTAGTACATATTACTAACAGTAAGATGTTAAAAAAAAAAAAAACAGATGGTTGTAAGTGTGATTTGTCCTGACTCGAATATGTCATAAGTTGGGGACTACCTGTGAATCCATTCCACAGATGAAGAAACTGAGGCTCAGAGAGAAAAAGTTACTTGCCCAAGGTCTCATTGCTACTACGCATATGGTTGCCAGATAAAATACAGAGTGCCCAGTTAAATTTGAATTTCAGATAGACTATAAATAACTGTTTAGTATAAGTATGTCTCATGCAATATTTGGGACATACTTACACTAAAAATACTCTTTGTTTATCTGAAATTCAAATTTAACTGGGAATCCTGTATTTCTATTTGCTAAATCTGGCAACCCTAACTATGTGACCAAGTCCACATGCTAACCCAAGCCTCTAAGCCTCCAAAGGAAGGCAGGAGCTCTGATCTGGAAACAAAGCTTCCCCTCTTGTGCCTCAATAAAGCTGGGAAGAATGGCCCTCCGGTCTGAAGAGTGTTGTGAGTTTCCTGGCCCCAAGGGACAGGCTGAGCCAAAAGGACGGCCCCGGTTAGGAGCAAAGCTGCTGGAGTAGGTAGGCCTCAGAGCCTACTCTGGGTTGCCGGGAAACACAAGTCCTGAGGGAAGGGAATGGAATTTCACCCTGACCCAGCAGAAGAGGAAGAGGAAATGAGGCCCCTACACCTCGTCCTAAGGAATGTGGGGGGGGGGAGGGGGGGCTCCGGAGAAGGGAAGAAGGACAGAGAAGGGGAGACTGTTTGGAAGTTTGTGTCTCCATCTTGTCACGCTCACTTCCTGTTTTCTTGGAGATCAAAGATGGGTGCGGAGGGACTGGCCTCACATCCAGCTGACGCCAACTCTGAGGAGGGGGCAGGGAGGCATCTTCCAAACCTCCGACTTTTGCTTAACCCAGCCTTCTTCCTCACTTTTCCGCAGCCTTGTTGGGCTCAGGCTCCCCCAGAGGTTTGAGAAGGACGTAAGATGGCCGCCCCTCACCATGGCAACACCAACCACCAGCTCTGTCTTGGGATGGATAAGATCAGAACAAGGACATTTTACCACCATGGAGGCCCAGGCCTTTATACCTGGCTCTGGCCTGAGTGTTTCAGGGACTCTAGAGTCCCGGGGCATTGTGGTTAAAAGTAAGACCCCGGGATGATGGAAAAATTTAAAATAGGTGGTGGCGATGATTATACAACATGTGAAGGTAATTAATGCCATTGAGTTATACATGTGAAAAGGTTCAAAGGTTTTGTTATATATATTTTAACATAATAAATTTTAAAATTTTTTTTGTTTTAAAGCAAGTTCTCTGGAGTCAGGCAAATGTAGGTTTGAATCTCAGGCTCAACATTTACTAGTTATGCTTTGGTGAAAACTTTTACCACTTTGGGTCTCAGTTTCTTCATCTGTGAAAACTAGAATAGAATCCACCTCACAGGTTATTTGGAGGATTCCACGAGACAGGGCCTATGGCAAGTCTTATAATAAAAATTATTATTATTATATCTTATATTATAATCAAATCCCCGCGTAGAGCAAAGAGTTAACATGCTCGGCTGCTAAACGAAAAGTTGCACGTCCGAATCCATTTAGAGGCACCTTGGAAGAAAGGCCTGCCAATCTAATGCTGAGAAATCAGCCATTGAAAACCCTATAGAGCACAGTTCTACTCTGACACACATGGGTCGGCATGAGTTGGAATCAACTTGATGGCAACTGGTTTTTTAAAAAATATTATAATCATTGAATCTACAGTTCAGTCATTGTAAAAGAATCAACTGTCTCAGAGGTGGGATGATGTAGTGGGAAGCAGCAGGCTCCAGAAGAGGGACCTCTGGGAGGAAGGAGGTCACTGATGTCTCCAGGCCAACCGACTCCCCTTACCCCAGTAAATTCTAGGACTGTCTCTCCTGCTGGTTTCATCCCTTCCGATCCTCCAACCCCCTCAGAGCCCCTTTCTTATCAGTGAGCATAGACTCCTTGGCTGTTACCTAGACCAGCCTCCTCCGATACGAAAGGGGAGACTGAGGCCAAGTCACATTGCACACGGCTGACCAGGCTGTGTCTTGCACCCACTCCTCCCCACACGATCCAGGACTGGCCTGCAGAACAGCACAGCACCTCCCTCCTTCCCTTCAGACTTTCCCTGCCCCCTCCCCAGACTTCCAGGAACCCCAGTTCCTCCCGGATTGCCGGGGCCACCTCCTCCATGCCGTCAGCGGGAGAGGCCACAGGCCTGGCCATTATGTAATGATCAGATAACAGGCCAGGCTGGGAGATCAGATAAGAGGTCCATTTATTTTGGGGACTTTTCGAATCCTGGCCGCCCCCACCCCGCAGACGAGAATGGGGAGACAGGAGGGAGTGTGACGCCGTGACGCCCGGGGCCCCGTCTCCCGGAGCCGGAGGCGGGCCCAGACAGAACTGAAAACAATCCCCTGGCACCAAGGGAAATGCCAGGGCCTCCCGGGACCGGGTCAGAGTGGGCGCCTCTGTGGACCTGAGTGTCCAGGGCTCCAGTGAGAGACCCTGGAGCCAGCCCCTCCCCACCGCCGGTCCATTCCTCCTCCTTCCTCACCCGTGGACCCCCATGAGCACACAGTCACCTCCGGGGCTTTCCAAATGACCAGCCCCAGCGCCTTGGGAGGGCACATAGGGTCGTGGTCAAGAAAAGCTGCTTTAGAGGCAGATGGCCTGAGTCAAATTCCAGCTCTGCCTCTGGAAAGCTGGTCACCTTCAGCAATTGCCTAACTAGACTCAGTTTCCTCATTTGCAAACAGAAATGATCACAGCAAATGTTTCCATCATGCTTACTGGGAGCCAGGAAGGCTTTACACGAGTTAACTCTGAGGTCCTCGCAGCAGCCCCATGAGGTGGGTAATATCATTACACACTCATTTTACACACAAGGAAATCGAGTATCAGGGAGGTTAAATAATTTGTCTGAGGTTACTCAGCTTTATGTCAGGGCTTGAATTTGAACCCAGATATTCCAGCTCCAGAACCTAGCACCCACTTTGCAGGCTGTGTGTCAGTTTGATGAGGTAACCCGTGTAAAGTGCCTGCTACCCAGGAAGTGTTCTATACCCAGTAAACCCATTGCCATCATGTTGATTCCGACTCACAGCGACCCTATAGGACAGTGTAGAACTGCCCCATAGGGTTTCCAAGGAGCGGCTGGGGGATTTGAACTGTCAACCTTTTGGTTAGCAGCTGTAGCTCTTAATCACTATGCCGACAGGGTTTCCAGTAGCTATGATTATAATTTCATACCAGGGCAGATACTTTTTGACAAGGTTCTTTTCTGCTGAAAATGCTGTCCCTTTGTCTTCAGCTACCTGCCAACTTTGCTTCTTTCAGGATCCAGTTGTAGCCTCACAAATCTCCCAGCTTTCAGTCCAGCTACTTCCCCTGGGCCTGGCCACCAATGAGGCCTCAGCACTCCTCTGCTCTGGCCTCTCCCATGGCTCCCCAGTGCCTCCAGGGTCGAGTCCACACTCCACAACCTAGAGTGGAGTTTACAAGTGCAGGCTTCAGGGTCTGACATGGCAAAGGTTCAGACCCTGATTCTGTAATCCCCCAGCTTCCTTCCCACACCTCAGTGTTATTATCTATAACACGGGGATGATGGTAATCATAATACCTTCCTCATCTAGTTTGCAAGTGTTGCTAACATACATACAGTGCTAAGCTGGCTGCTGACCTGTGGGGATTGTTCAGGAACTGCAATTGCTGTCAGAATTATTTCTATCCAGTCAATGGGAAGATGCTGTGTGTTACCCGCAAACACACCTTGCTCCCTGCCCCTGCTACGTTCTTTCCCAGATCAATGATCTTCCTTTATTTGACCACCTGGTCAACTTCTATTCATCCTTCAAAACTTTGTTCTGGAAATCCTCCCGTCAGAACCTATCCCTCCCCTTTCAGGGGCATTGGTGCCTGGATGTCCTTCTAGAACTACACATGGCCAGGTGGGTTGTTTTCATTTGTTCGTATGTCTGCCTCTCCCCGAAGATGTAAACTTTTCCGGGACAAACAGAGTCCAGACCACCCTGAATCCCCAGTGCCCAACCCAGAGTACAGAGCAGGCATGAGTGGAATTGATTTGTCAGGCCTACTTCTAACTTGCTGGAAGATCCGTGTTAAGACCCTCCACCAATCTGGGCCTCAGTTTCCCCATGGGTACTTGGAGAGGGGGAGAGGGATGGATAGGACATGCTCCAAGTTCTACTGGGGATCTGACATTCTGAGGTTCTGTCTGGGTTTAAAAGCAGGAAGACAGGGTAGAGCATCAATGGGGCTACTGAGATGGGGGTAGGGTCCCAGGGCTTGTCTTGTAGGTGGGAGGGCCACTCTAGGGGTAGGGCAAGAGGCTCATTGCCTGGGATGGGAAGATCAGGCAACAAGGAAACTCCCATCATCCCTGCTGAGGCATTACGGTGCAGTGGTTAGGTCTAGGGCTCAAGTCTCAGCTGCTCACTTCTGGGCTGTGTTGACTCAGGCAAATTCCTTCACCCGCCTGTGCCCCAGGACTGTCTACTTCATAAGGATTTTGCGAAGGTTTAATCTGATAGTACACATAACATGACTAGACGACATCTGGCGCACCATCAGCGCTGAATAAATGCCAATGGTTATCGTCTTTTCTTTGCCCTCTGCCCCTGCCACAGATAGGTATTAAAGCCAGCTCAGCCCCTGGGTGAGGCTCCTCTTCAAACTCCAGGGCTGACCCCCAAAGCCTGGGCTGGAGCTGGGGTGGGGCCCCGGAGCCAGGGCAGTCAGCAATCCAAGTCTCAGAAGCCCAGGTCACCAAAGGTCTGGGCCCCAGCTTGGTGCAGGGAAAAGAAGCTGGGTTTGGATTCAAATTTGAATCTGCCACTTGGCCCAAGCCTCCATTTCCTCATCTGTAAACTGAAAATAGAGAGAGACAAAAGGCCAGCATGGTGTTGGATCACTGAGGGCACTGGAGAGGTGGTTTCCTCCCTCTTGCCCCCTCAGGCCCTCGAGCAAATGGACCAGGCTGTCCTCAGATGCTCCAGCACTGACCCACCTGTGACCATGAGCAGATTTCTCCCTCTGGACCTTAGTGTCACCATCTGTCTGGCTGAGATGAAGATCTCTTAATGCTCATGTCCCCACTATCCCCAGGGACCCACCCTTTCTGGCTCACACGGCTCCTGATCCAACTCTTTTTCCTCCAGGTAAATGGGCAGCTGCTCCTGAATGCAGCCTCTAGAGATAGATATATGTGGTCTCTGTCCTGCGTTACTAGCCCCTCTGCAGTGAATCCCAGACCCCCACACAGTGGCCAGAAGCACAGGGGCCCAAGCCACACCTCTGGCCCATCATCAGATGAACAATCATCAACACACGAGGACACTCTTCAAACCCAGTCACCCAAAATAGGTGATGAGACCCAGCATCTGCACTTCTGGGACTCTGTCCAAAGGAAATAATCCAAAATATGGGAAAAGTGTGGCTCCCAAAAACTTGCATCAGGTTGGTATTTATAATCAGTAAACAAGGAGAAACCACCTAGATATTCAGCAATAGGGGATTCGATAGGCAAAACTGTGGCATATTTGAGGGAGAGAATATCCCAGAACTGCAATGGGACAGTTATGGCGTCCACATGACAACATACAAGTTTCTGGAACAGAGAAGGGTATTCAAGATACCCAGATGTTCATCCAACTGGATTAAAATTGCCTGAAAAAGCTAGAAGTCAATCCATCAACATGCTAGTGGTGTCAATATTAAAAAGGGAGTTTGGGGGTAATTTTCCCTCCTTTCCTTTGAGGGATGAGCTAAGGCAAATCTGTGGTTAACTTGCTTTTTAAAAAAATATCTGTACGCTTGTTCTTAAAAAAAAAAAAAATTCCAACATAAAGGAAAAGTGTGTCTTAAAATGTTAAAAAGTGAAAGTCCCTAAAGAAGCCCTTACCTGGAGAAAGGTAACAGTGGGTGTACATCCTTCCAGAATTTTCTCTGTGCATATTGTGCATTATTGCTGTTTTATTATTACATAAATGGAATCATTGTTGTTTGGAAATGTTGTGTCCCAGACACCTGTCCACAGCGGTATACACATAGATCCACCTTTTTCTTGGTAAGTGCTATAGATATTTTGCTACAGAATAATTTATTTAACAGGTGCCCCAATGATGGAATTTAGGTGGTCTCAGTTTGTTTGTTTGTTTGTTTTGTTACAGGCACCTATGGACCACACATCTTTACACAGCTGGGCAAGTATCTCCATAGGGTTGTTTCTTGGAAGTTGAGTTGGTGGGGTAAAGAGTTACGCAGTTACAGTTTTTAGAGATGCTGCCTAGTTGTGCCCACAGAAGGCTAGACCCGTTTTTGGAGCTGTCTTCACCCCCTCCAGCCTGAATGAGGATGCCTGTGTCACTCCCATTCCCCACTCCCAGCCTGGAGATCTGGGTTCCATGACACGGCTCACGCCCTCATCTGCCCTCCCAGGTTTCACAGGCTATAAATGAGTTGCCCTGGATGATTTGTAAGGTCCTTGAGTCCTACAATCAATGTTGTGCTGGAACCAGCTCATACCTGCTCATGAGAGCGGCTGATAAATTTTCAGGAGTTTTTTGAACAAGCTATTGTTAATTAAATTATACAAACTTACAGTTAAATGAGTTATATTAAAAATGAAAGTAATAAATATCAAAATTCAACACTTCCTAATTATTTTACTCCCTTTTACTATCATCCATGCTCTTAAGGTTATTTACGTCTATTGTATCTGTGTGATAGAAGTACTCTACAATGGTGTGCTGCTGCCTGTCTCTTCCCAACTCTAAGTTTAGTGAGTTGGTAGCTTGAAAGCAGTCATGTGGGAGTATTTACACCATGGAAATGGACAAACGCTACAAATCAGGGCTCCCTACCCAAGCCAGTTGTTAATTATTCACCAGCATCCTATACTACCTTCTATCCAGTAAAAACAAACCCCAAACATCTGCATGGATCTTTCTCCAATGACCAAGAGGAAGAGAGTGTTACCATAGCTAGAAATGGGTGAGATGCAGTGGGGTGAAAGGTGGAGCGAGCCTGGAGACACTTCTCAGAGCCCAGGTAGAAGTTCTGTCCCATCTGTGTGAACTTAGGTAGGTCAGAGCCTCCATTTCCTTTCCTGCAAAATGGGGATGATAATGGCAGCCATCTTGTAGGGCGATTGTGAGCCATCTCAGGAAGGCTTGTCATCTCAAGAAGGGTTGCTGTATCATATGTGGTTAGAAGCAAATGTTCCTGGGAGCCTCAGACCTAGGGGCAAATCCCTGCTAAGTCACTTAACGTCTCTGAGACTCAGTTTCTCATTTATCATTTATCAGTCGAGCAGTGGTAAGAGCTTTAGAGACCAAGGAGTCGATTCTGACTCATAGCGACCCTATAGGACATTGAAGAACTGTCCCAGAGGGTTTCCAAGGAGCAGCTGGTGGATTCGAACTGCTGACCTTTTGGTTAGCAGCCATAGCTTGCCATAGCTCTTAACCACTGCACCACCAGGGCTCTGACCAAGGATTAGGAACTTTAAAATGCCGTAGAGTAGGGTGAGTTGGGGAGGGGCTGGCCGTCACTGCTGCCGTTCCCATTTTCACCCTCCTCTCCACACAACTGGCTCCCTCTTCCCCTCCTCCTGCTCCAGATCCTCTAGCGAGTTCCTAGCAGGTGAAGGGGTGTCCACAACGATGTCCTGTGGCATTGGGTGGATGAGGGGCAGGACACTGCAGAGGTGCACAGTGAGTGGGATGTGGGGTTGGGAGTTCCCCGCTCCTCAGGGCCCCCTCCCTTGGTCAAAGTTTCAGACCACCTGGAAAAGCCCCCAGGCTGATGAGTCCCCGGAGGCCCCCTAATCTGGGCCTGCACCCTCATCCACCGCATCCAAACTGCACCCTCATCTGTTTGGGAAGCAGAGAAAGAGAAATAGAAGCAGAGGGAGTATTTTGGAGGCCTATTCTCTGCCAGATTTCTCTATAACAAGCACACTACAAGCATTACCTCATCATCACTCATTGCAACAGCCCTGAGGGGGAAGTTTATTAACATCCCAACTTTGCAAATGAGGAAAGTGGGCTCAGAGGCACGAAGGCAGTTTCCCAAGATCACACAGCGAGGAGAACGTGAGTCTGACTCCAGAGCCCACACTCTAAACACAAGGCCATGGGGGCCTCCTGCGCACATGGCTCCTTCCTGTACATTTCTCGAATGAAAAAGTCAGGGCCCAGAGAGGGCAGGGGACTCTCCTGGGACCACACAGTAGAGATGGGGGTACAACAGGTCTGCAACCTGGGCTTCCTGGGCAGAAACTGGACACAGCTGAGAGGACAGAGGTGAGGGGCCGAGTTAAGGTGACCAACTTATCCCGATTTGCCCTGACTTTTTAGCACTGAAAATCCTGTATCCTGTGAACCCCCTCAGTCCCAGCAAACTGGGGTAGTGGTCACCCTACAGCACCCAGCTCTGGATGCCCAAAGGCCCCCGTCCTCCCAGGCAAGACACCAGACCAGCTCCACTGGACATGAGCTCCAGACGCGGGGAAGCCCGGGCTGTGTGCTGGGCCAAGCCCTGCCCTCTTCGGGCCTTGTCTCCCACCCCAGGTCCCTGGACACCTACTTGTGGAGCTGAGGCTGTAGATGGCCAGCAGCAGGGCAATGACCAGGGGGCGTGAGCTGCATTCCATCCTGTCCACCAGGGGGTCTGTGCGATGGGCCTTATCCGGTGTCCAGGGGCAGGGCTGCGGGTGGGCGCCGGGGCCGGCGTGGGCTCGCGCAGGGACCCAAAGGGAGCAGGCGGCCGGAGCGACGGCGTCCCTGCTCCAGCCTTCTGCAGGGGCGGCCAAGGGATCAGGAGAAGTGGGCACGGGGACGCAGGTCTGGGCCGGAGGTCCGCGGCTGTCCAGCTGACAGTGGATGAGGAGGGGATGCTGGCTCCTGTGGACAGCAGCAGATGTAGTCCGTGGACACAGATGGAGGCTGGAATCTGACCGTCGGTGGCAGGGAGCTCAGAGCTCATCCAGCCCGGCTGGGGAGGCAGGAAATGCGCTTCCTTAGAAAGGGGCTGGGCCAGGCTGCCTGCCAGACGGGTAGAGGAAGTGCCATGGGCTTTGTCACTGGGTGGGGGGCCTTGGGGTAGACAGCGGGGGTGGAAGAGCCCAGGCTCCAGGCTTGTCTCCCCACCCACCCCACCCTCCCATCCCACCCTCTCCAGGGCTGGTGGGTGGGGGTGCATCTGGCAACCTCCAGGCCCAGATGAAAACAATCACCATAACAGCCCACCAGGGGGGCCTTCCAGGGTCCAGGCCCTGGCTGAGACAGTTCATGTGGGACTCACATTCCATGAACTCAGGATTCCCGTTTTGCAGATGAGAAAACAGAGGCCTGACGAGGTGAGATCATGGGCTCAAGAGGGCGGTGGCACTGGGATTCAAACCCACATTCATCAAGCTCCAAAGCTGGCTCATATGATCATGACACTGAGCCGCTGTTTCCTTGTTTCTCAGGCAGGGAAACTGAGGCCAGGATGGAGAAGGAACACGCCCAAATTGGCACAGCAAGATTGTTGGGCTGGGGTCTCAGGGCCCAGAGAGGGCAGGGGACTCACTCAGGGCCACACACTTTGTGTCTGCACCTCCATGGGTAGAAAACCCTCCAGGGACAAAGGACAGCCCCAAACAAAAGGGGGACAGACCTTTGGTGGAGTTTCTAAAGTCTGATGACCCTGGGTTCACAACCTTGCTCTGCTTGCTGTGAGCTATAAAACCCTGGGCAAGTCCCCTCAACCCTCAGTCACCCTGTCCGTAAAGTGGCACAAAAGTGCCTTCCTCACCAGGCCTTTGTGAGATTTCCAAGGGTCGAGGCACTATAGCGCTGAGTCCTGGGCCTGGCACACAGGAAGTACCCATTGAAGGGGGCCTCGAGCTCTCCCCCATTCATGCTCCCTGAGCCTAGGAGACAATTCCAGAACCCAGGTAGAGAACAGCCTGGTGCTGATCTGGGGTTCCAGGAGGGAGCCGTGTTCATTCTGCAAACAGTAAGCACCTACTATTTGCCCGACATGTGCTAGGTGCATGGTGCTAGGGTCAGCCTAACGGAGCTCAGAGATGGAAGACTGAGCTTCCTGGAGGAGATGGCATTGAGGCTTGGCCTTTGAAAGCCTGGGGAAGTAGAAGGAGGAGAGGGCATTCCGGGCAGAGGGACCAGCCTGAGCAAAGATACAGAGGCAGGAAGTGGTTGAACCACTGTGGGACGAACAGGGGTGTGGTGGGGGCAGTAAGCCTGAAGAGACAGACTTCGGCCCTACTCTGGGAGACTTTTATTCTAAAGGCTTTCGGGGAATCATGGAAGTTCTTGAGCAGGAGGATGCTGGCAGAGCTAGACTTTGAGAAGATGAATCTTGGCATGTTCTGGCAGGACCCAGAGGGGAGATGGACCCATCTGCCCCGGATCACAGATGGAGAAACAGTGACCCAGAGACAGAGGAGAAAGCTGGAGCCCTGGGTACCTCTGGAGGAAGGGTGTTGCCCTGGGGTCCGAGGCCTGGCCCCCATCCATGCCTTCTAGCCCTCATTGGCCGGCAGCTCCAGTAACAGAGCAGGCCAAGTGTCTGCCTCAGCAGGAGCTGACCCAGCAGCAGGAAAGGCGTTGGGGCTCCTTGGGTGGATATTGGGGGAAGGGTCAGCTGGCCCAGCCCTGCAGCTACCGGCCAGTTCCCAGCTAAGCATGGGCATGTGGTCAAGGGAGACCCACCTAGGCTTGGCAGGCTGGGAAGGCTGTGACGTTGGAGGGGGTCACCCTGAGAGTGGTTGCTCCTCTGTCTTTTCCTGCAGCCATGGAGATGGGGAGGTGAAAACCATGAGAGGCAAAGGGTGACTTCAGTGAGGGAGACTTTGAGGTTCCCCTAGGCCCTGCACCAGGATCTGGGCCCTAGAGACAGTTAATTCAGCCCCAAGGGGGCTGAACTCTCCCTCTGCACCAGGCCCTGCCCTAGGCGTTCACCTTATCAGCTCTGAATCCTCACATCCACCCCATGAGGTTGGTACTGTTGCACCTCCATTTTACAGAGGAGGAATGCCAAGCTGCGTGAGGTTTAAGTGACTTTCCCAAGGCCCCCAGCTGGAAAATAGCGACCCCACAGCTGCCTGGCTCCCGGCGTGGCTTCTTCCCTGCCTCCACCACTTGAGCTGAATTTGGAGTAGCATATGTCATGGGGCTGTAGATGTCACAGGGTAGGGGAGATTGTTGTCCAGAGCGGGTGTCTGGGGCATCCAGGGGCAGTAACAGGGAATCCATAGGAGGCTCTTCCAAAATCCCCCTCCTGCCCCCTTCCTTCCACTCTGAACAATCCATCCCCACCCATGCCATAAACAAAACCCAGTGGATTCTCTAGAAAGCAGGAGAGACTCCAGGTGGACAGGAGGAAGAACTTGTAGAAAAGCTCTAGGAAGAGAAAAACCCTACAGGCAACCATGAGAAAGCCTGGAGCCCTGAGCTCAGAGACATCTGGAAGAAGGAAGAGACTGGGATGGGGTAGAGGTGGGAGGTGGAGTGGGAGGGTCGCCTCACAGCTTCCACAGTGTCCTGTGCTTCCCCATCACTCTCATCCATGTGGGGTTGTGTGCCATGTGTCTCCCCATTGAACTAGAACCCCCATGAGGGCAGGGACTTCCATGTCCTCTGTACCACTGAGTCCCCAGCACAGATCCCGGGGCCTTTTGGCCCTGTGATATACTTATTGAAAGCATGAGGTACCGCGGAAGGTAAGACAGGGACGGGGGTCATGGAGGTACAAAGAGGCAGGTCTTGCTGCTCGTCCTCACTGGCAGAGGCCAGTCTCTGGACTGAGTCTCCTAGCCCTGGAAAGCCGGATGCCTCTCCAGATGCACTCTCCATCCTGCTTGGAGCCTGGAGGATGACAGACACACACACAGCCCCACTCCCGCCCCTGCAGTGGATCAGCTGGAGGAAGGAGTTGAGCATTCATTCTTCTGCTCCCTCCCTGCAGGTCCCTGCACACTGGTGCCTCCCTCCCCAGAAGGCCATAGCACTGTCAAGGCCCCCTCCACACAACCCTCTCTTGCTCTGGAAACCACCCTTTAGGCTGAGGGTGGTGATGGCCCACGCTGCTGCCAGCCCTGGGGTTCTGCACTGTCCCTTGTGGTTTCCCTAAACCCGGCCCACACCTGTGTAAATAGACCTTTTATTAAACTTTCCTCAAATTATCCCATTTGAGCGTGCCATCTGTTTCCTGCTGGGGCTCTAACTGATACAGATGATTCAGGTGCCGCCTGTCCACAGGCCAAAGAGACACGTGGCTGGTGACCAGACCCCTGTGCCTGGACTCCACAGTGGGCTCCTTCCTCCCGCTGGCTGGCCAGGAAGGCCCGGGTTGCAGGAAGGGATGGAGCACGTCCACCCTGGCCCCCGGCCACCAGAGGAATTTCAGGCAGCCCCTAGGGACCCCCAGGCGGCTCTCCGTCTCCCCAGCACAGGCCTGAAGCCAGGGGCTGCTGAGGACAGCAGGTCCAGACTCACGTGGACAAGAGAGATAGTGGATGCAGAGGGAAGAGAGAGCACTGGATTGAGCCTTAAGGTACCCAGACTGCCCCACACTGGCCAAGTGGTCCCACGCAAGACGTTTCCACTTTCTGGGCCTCAGTTTCTTCATCTGCACAATGGGCGGGTAGCCTGCTAGCCTGGGAATTCAAAGGGCCAGGACAAGAATCGAAACTGCTCCACAGCCCCGTGTCAAGCGCACACTCAGTCCTCACAGCCACCTAATGAGCAGAGACTATCCTGTCCCCATTTTACAATGAAGGAAACTGAGGCTCAGATGTGCAAGGCCACAAGGCTGGGGAGAAGTAGAAAATTCAAATCTAGGTCTGTCTTTCTTCCCTCAGCTTCCAGAAGCTCCACCCCCCAATCCTGGCTTTCCTCCCACCTCAGTAGTCGCCCCTTATCTGTCTCCTCTTCCTCTCCTCCCAGGCTTGGTCCTTGGGCCTCTTCCCTTCTCTGTTTACCTTCACCCCCAGGTCAGATTTTCCCAAATCTTTGTGACTCAAACACTGGAACTCTGGCTCAAATGATTGAAATAAGTGTTTCGTGAAACTATATATATAGCCTTACGATGTGCCACGCATGCCCATAGCATCTATCCTGGCTTTTTCTCTCAAATGCTGGTCACAAGTCACTCTATTGATCTCACTACCCATTTGTGGGTCTTAGCCATGAAATACAACGCCCAAGGAACCTTGCTAAGGTCCCTGGGTGGCACAAACGGTTTGTGCTCAACTGCTAACCTAAAGGTTGGCTGTTTGAACCCGCACAGCAGCACCACAGAAGAAAGCCCTGGCCATTTACTTCCGTAAAGATGACAGCCAAGAAAACTGTATGGAACAGTTCTACTCTAACACATGGGGTTGCCATAAGTCAAATCGACTTGACGGTAATTTTTTTTGTTTTGTTTTGTTTTGTTTTTTATTAGGATCCTTATTACTCAAAGCATGGTCTTAGCATCTCCTGGGAGCTTGTGAAAAATGCAGAATCTCAAGCCCTGCCTCCCACCTGCTGAATCAGAACTTATGTTTTTTCAAGATCCCCAGGGGATTCATGATTGAGCTCAAGTTTCAGAAGTGTTGTTCTAGGTGACTTCATCCAGACAAATGGCTTTAAATGCCATCTATATACTGACACATATAGTGTCGGAAGGTGAGCCCCTCAGGTTGGAAGGCACTCAAAATACAACTGGGGAAGAGCTGTTTCCTCAAAGTAGAGTTGACCTTAATGATGTAGGTGGAGTCAAGCTTTCAGGACCTTCGTTTGCTGATGTGGCACGACTCAAAATGAGAAGAAACAGTTGCAAACATCCATGAATAATAGGAACGTGAAATGTATGAATATGAACCTAGGAAAACTGGAAGTCTTCAAAAATGAAATGGAACGCTAAACATTGATATCCTAGGATTAGTGGGCTGAAAAGGACTGGTATTGGTCATTTTGAATCAGACAATCATATAG